TTTTTTTTTTTTTTTTTTTTTTTTTTTTTTTTTTTTTAGTAATTTCAATCGGAGGATTTCGTTGAAAATTGCAATTTCTGCTTTTAGACACCGGGTTCAATGCTTCGATTTCTATTTTTGCCAGTCGACGGATTGTGCGGTTTCCGCGGGGCAACGGAGAGGAGGATAGGTATGCAATGGAATAGTTTTACCGATTTAAATGAAGTTTATCGAGTTGAGCTTGGTTTCCACAGATTTATCGAAACTTGTTTCGTGTGAAATCAAAAATGAATGATTTTCTTTGTTTACTGAAGTATACAATTCAAGTATATGATATGTTCCATATATTCAGAAAAAATCATTTAAAACGAGACATTATAATTGTCTAATTAAAACTCTTTAAATATTTGCTTATTCGACAGACAAATGTAATCTTGCGAGTTAAAAATCTCAAGAAACAAGAAAATCATAATCTATTCTTCTCAACTTAAATTACCTTATTTTTTTCCGAACCAATTAAGCTAGATTCAAGAATCAGAAAGAGATTGAAATAGTCGCATCTTCGTTTTCGATCTCTTTATTTTTAACGTCAGAGGGGGTGATGCTAAGAAGCCAACTACATTTTCCACTTCTCCATTCGTTCCTTTCTCCCTTCTTTCTTCTAATTTTCCACCCCACATCGGTTCATTCTCCCTTTTTCCTCTCGACGATTCTGAGTGCCCAGGGTGCTGGACCTTTCGTTTAGGGCACCGCAGATGCCGCGTGCCCTACTAGATTACGTGCCAATGGTTCTCAACCTCGATCTCTATCTAACCATCCATTATCTGTCTCCCTAGGTATAAATATATCCTGATTCCTCTATAAGTGTGTGTTTCCATCGTATTACGTAAAATCAGTCAATGAGAACCACTTGCAAGGGGAAACAACCCTCCCTTTTCGGAGACCTTCCTTTATTCATCCCCTAATGTAGGACCGACCAGCGTACCTTCTCCCCTGCACAACGATAGTATATAGGCTAGTGTATTTATCGTGAAACTTGTACATGAGCGATATATATATAAAATAATATATATGTTTTGTATAAAGGATATGCAGAATATACGATTCGCAGGATTCCTTGGTTTATGTGTGTATGTTGCGGTACGTTTAAGTGCACGGATGCATTTATTGCACGCTTGTGCGTGGCATACAAACACCTATGGGCGTACGGCCGCTCGTATTTTCGCGGTTGCAAATGTTGCATCGCGTGCCGTGGAACTGGGTCAACAATCGTGGGGCTATTCTTCGGGGACGACGTTTTTCGCGTAGTTGTGATGCTGAGTTTATTTCTTACGAGAAGTTTTTGAAAAAAAAAAAAATATGATCTAAATTAGAACTTCGAATAGTTCTAATAGGAAAAGAGGGAGTTAATAATATTTAATTTATGTTATTTATTATTCTCTTGAAAGAATTATTGTGAAATTATTTTATTTTGGAAATTTTGATAATTCTTTACTTTATTTATTATTTTTTTTTTTTTTTGGAAAAATGATCATGTATTGAAAATTAGTTAACAGAAAGATTTAATTGATATATGATTTAATTTTGTAAAATAAAATAAAATTAAATAAAATAAAATATTTTAATAAAGTAATAAATTATATTACTTTATTAAAATATTATAAAAATCATTTAGTAAAGTTAATTTATACATGATTAAAATGATTAAAATAAGCATTTCGTTATGAGTAAAATATATAATTTATTTTACAATAATATATATTATGTATAATTGCATAAATAAATATATAAAAATTAAATCATAATCATATAATGAATCAATGTATGTATAAAAATATAAGAATATAAGGATAAAAAAGTATATATTTATATGCTAAATCATTAAAAAATTAATGAATGCATATTTTTGATATCTTTTCTTATTTATTTATATTTATATTTACATTCTGAAATAAAAGAACATAAAATATTTTCAAAAAAACTAGTACTAATAAATATTATAAAAAGATTATAGACAATTTGAACTATTAACATAATTTAATAAGTATTTAATAATTAAATATTGTGAAAATTATTCATATAAAATGTTATGTATGTAAGTTATTTAGTTTTATTTAAATATTTTATCAAATAGAAATTTCAATTAGATTTTTATATTTATATATAGAATTAAATATATAAAATTCAAGATTTTTATATTTTCTTTTCAATTCAGATATTTATATTTCTTTAAAAGCATGCATAATAAATTATATTTTAAGTATAATCAATTGTATTGTTATTTACATTTAGAGAATAATAGGTGATCACATGAGTGACTTAGATTACCATCCATTAATGCAAACATACATCAAAGGTAGTTTTCACCCCTTATTCTTTTATAAAACTTTCTGCTCTCTCCTCTCTTCTCCCTATTATCGATTAATTGAGCACGTGGCTAAAATATAAAATATTATCCTGCACGATTATATTCACGAAGGATAATGCTTATTCATTATTCTTTTTTAGTAATCTACAATAAAATTCTGTAGATTGCTGGCTCTTGTATTTCTTTTTTCGTTTAAAGATTGTAAACTGATATCTTGCATAGTTTATTCTTACTTTAGACGTGATATTGATTTTCAATTTTTCAATTCTCAATACAAATGATTATATAATTTCAATAATTCAGTTGTTTAATTTTCAATCGTCTTTATTAAATATATCATTGG